TCGCAGCTCAGAAGGGCCACATGGAAGTGGCCCGCGTGTTGCAATCAGAAACATCACGCAGTGCGGTACACCCAGAGTTCCGGCGTTTGGGTACATTAACAAGGGTCCCCAGGCTTAGTGGGTTCAGCGCAGTGCTCGCTATGCGGCAAGCTCGTATATCCTTTGAAGTGCAAGGTATACACATATAAATAGACACGAATACTCATATACGAGCCACATGTATAATCTATAGAGGCCATTTCGACTCTACCGGCGCAACATGCCCACAAAGCTTGGATGGGGGGGGGGGTCTGTGCGCCCCGAAAACCCGAAAGTAAGAGTCCATATATAGGGCCTGCGGGGAAGACATAATTTAGGGGTTCAAAAACCCTACTGCTGGGGGGGCGTTCGGTTGTTTTCAGAGGGCCGCCCAGACACGTCCAGACTCGTGACAGGGGTTCCCCCCTAAGACTACATGTTTCTGGTCGGGGAGTGTCGAACATCCAAATGTCGACGGATCTTCCCGGACGCCCCAAAATCCCCCCTCAATATATATATTTCTAGGTCGGGCCAGTAGAAATTTAGTATCATTTTTTCTCGGTCGGTTATGGTCATTCGCGCGCCCTGCCACATTTTTGAGGGCTCAGACAGCAGATTCGTTTTGCTGAGCTGGCCATGTGGCGCAGCCATGTGTAGCCTGGAGCATGATTGGAATATTCTTCAACAAACTGGGGTGTAACTTGGATCTTTGGAATAGCGCTTGGCCTGCACGCCCAATCTTGGTTTTCTCTACTTTGGGTCGCTAGAAATAGAATTATTTCTAATATCACCTGGTCCTGAACTCTATAGGCCATGAATCCCCGAACCATAGAAACTTATTTTTCTTGGATGTTATTCTCGATATAATTTGATATGATTATTATTGGGATTTTTGGATCAAATTTATCATCTATGATGAGCCATTGCGGGATGGAGGGATTATAGGCCGTGGGTTTGTTGAGCATATGGTTTGGAATAAATATTAATCAATATTTGCGGGATTTTCAAGAGAAAGAGATATCGTATTTAGTTACGATGGGATTTTTCTGGATAATTGAGGAAGGGAAGATTATTTCTACGATCGTCTACATAATTATGAGATATTTCATCTTTGTCGTTTGATAAGTCATTAATTAAGGATATTCCGATTATGATATTGAATAGATATTGAATTCCTTCGTTGGTGGAATAAGAAATGTAGACTCTCAAAAATACTAATTCTTTCTAATGTTATACTCCTGAGAATTTCAAGGGTCCATATAAATATTATTCAAAGATTAGGAGAGATTTCTCTTCTTTATATAAATGTGTTTATAAAATTTTCGAAATCGATTATTAACGAGAGAAATTCTGATGAGATATTTTACCTTCTTGATTTATTATTTGATTGTGGGAATGTTAGCTCTTTTTACGAAGGATTGGATATAAGTTTCTTTTCCGCCATTTTAATTTGATTCTGGGATTCTGGGAATAGTCTGAAGATATTTAATTGGTATTTTTAGATATAGAAATCGTTTATATGTCAAGAAGGATCAATTATATTCGAGACATCCGGCAGAGACGAGGCACTTCCATACTCCCGAGCACATGCAAGGTCCCATCGCCGCCCCGAATTAGACTAGGGAGAAAGGAAATACCGGAATCCAAAGAAATAAAGAAGAATTTCCATCTCGAGGATAAGGATCCTAATTGAGATATATATCTCCAAAGCGGCGCCCAAATATAATCGAATTAGAAAAGATATTCAATACAAATGGCCCGCACAAATGATGAATGCCAATGTCCTCCTATATTTCGCTTGCCGCTTGATGCGCCCGTTGCAACGCACAAGCCGCGTGGGAAACTACGCCGCAAGTCGACAGATATCCTGGCCGAGAGCTTTCCACGAGTTGAGCCGGAATAAATTCCCATTCTTTTATCGGCCGCTCGGCACAAACATCGTATTGCCAGGCGTGTCCCACCGCAGGCTCCGCCAGATGCTGCCTTCGGCCGACATACGCGGGCGCTTGCGTGGCGAGGCGACGGAAGCATGATGCTTTATATATAATTTGGTTTTCACCCTTATTATATTTCACTTTGTGGAATCTTCGTTGTCTTCTTCTACTTTTCGTCTTTCTGGGACGCCTCTTTAATTGGGGGTGGTGGCGGGTTTTTGTGCACGTCGAGGTGTCTTGGAGAGCTCGAGATCTTGGTTGTTTGGTCTCGTTTTTGTTTCTGGGGTTCTCGGACGCAAAAGACGTCGTATTCTCTTAATATTATGTCTCCTTTCTTAATTGGCGCTTTTGGGACCAGAAGCCTCTTGCGCCCAGAAGAGTCCAAAGAATCCAAAACGGACGATACTTCCGGCGTCATATCCCAATCGATTCCTATACATTAATGGCTCAAAGTCAATATTTTGCGCGGCACATTAAGGATTTTCAGAGTCTCGGCTGCGAGCTTATTTTTTTATTATACTTGCGTTCCTGTGTTGCCACTGCCGTAGGCGCCATATGGTCTTATTTCTCCGACAATCAGATTATTTCAATGGACTTTCCGATTTTCCAATTTCCATATGGTATTTGATTAATACTTCGCCTTGCGAAATTATAATTTATCCAATACAAAAACTCTAGTAGGAATCATTAGAGCTTGCCAGGGTGCAAGAGACTTCTGCTCCCAAAAGCACCAATTAAGAAATGAAGTTCGAAAGAATTAATTCATATAAATTACAAAGTCAATAATCAAGATTCAAAATAAAGAGTAGACCAATACTAGTGTATCAAAGCCTATGAAATGGAAGACCCGATTATCTCAAAAATTATCCTTCATTTACCATTACTCAGATATACGATTTTAGGATTCATTATGGGTATTGTTCGTGGCTCTCGAATGGGCACATTGAAGTACAGCTCCTAAGTATTTTGCACGTTCTTGGGAGCAGAAATCTCTCAGCGATGGAAATTTAATTCGTGCCTTGGTTCTTTTTAGTATATTTTGGACGATACTTAATTAAACAAAAATGCTCCTGGGAACATAAGTTTCTCCGATTCTCCCCAACGAGACCAATCGCTCAACGATTCATTATTCTAATTATATTAAGAAAAATTAGAATAAGGATAAATCGTTAAGAGGGGGAATCATCTTATCCCCCTAATTCATGAATTAAATCAAATATAGATTCACCTAGATGCCTTGTCATAATCCAAAATACTTAGATATCCATTTAATCTCAAAAATTATTTCCATATAATCAAGGTCTAGCAAGAACCATATTTCATATATAATATATTCTCATATAAATAATGAAAAATAGTTTCATAATTAAGAAGAGAACAATCATCACCTGAAGATTGAACGATAATTCTCAAATACGAGAGAATAAAAAATAGAACAAAATACACATCCATAATCCCCCAAGCTCTGAATTTTCGACCTCAAAATTCTGAATATCGAAATCTATTTCATTCTTCAATTCATATATATCTTACTCGAGGATTAAATAAATTTCTTTTGATTTCTATTGGGAACATACGTCTCTCTCAATGATGATTTCGTAATGAATTCGTGTTTTTAGGAACGTAAATCTCTTGTTCCGAAGAGATCAAACGAATAATAATTAAAATTATTATTTCTTCAATTCATCATCATTGGAATGATACGTATGTGATATCATAGAATTTGAATTATTTCGAATAATCTCGAAGCGTAACAACAAATACATTAAATTTCCCTATGATCTTCTTAAGAATGAAATGGATATCGATTGATCCTAGAACGTAAGCACATACAATAGCAAGGACATGTAAGATCATCCAATAAGTATGATCATGAAAATCTACAAGGTAGTAGCCTCAATATCCCATTTTCCAGATGATTGTCGCGCTCCAACTTCCTCCAAAGCCAAGCGGGAAGATGCAAAAGCCCCACGGCTGATGACCTGGCCTTGTTAGAATGACAAGCAAGTGTGTGCTCCGAATTCTGTCAAGACGCTTGCGCAATTTGCCCAGGCGAGCCGGTTGCCAAAGATTCAAGACGCAAATCCCTCAAGCAACGGCTGCCTCCTGGCCTGTTGACCTGCCCATCGCCGCACATGCAAGAGAGATGCAGCGATGGAGAGGGCCAGCAAAGTACACAGAACCAATACGCTCGGGGAAACAGCTTCGTCTGAAGTGAGCATGGTTGGCTCTGACTTGCGATGAATGTGATGTAGGTAAGTGTCGAGCTCGGGAGCACGCTGGTCATGTGCAAGTGCATCTTCCTCAGCAGCTTGGGCAACATGTTCAGGATTGCGGAAGGAAGATCCTGCTGTGTGCTTTGCCAGCTTCATCCAAGCACTCTCTGCATCCAGCTGCAGCGCATTTTTCATCTACCATTGCTTACGAACCACTTCTGGTGGATTTGGGATGTAAATGGGGCGTGATCTTGAAACGACGGCCGGGTCCATCATGTCCTTGTTGTTTGTCGCAAGCAAGAAGGTCAGTTCGAGACCTCAGACGGCGGTGCATGGCACAACTTCCATCCTTGCTGTTTCACGCTGTAATCCGCAGACCATTTGATCGGCGAAGATGGAATCAAGCCATCAGGGCCATGATGACCGGAGAAGTTCTTGCCATCGACGGTCAACGTGTCATAGTCTGACTCCGTCTGGAACTGAGAGACGTGTAATGACGTGTAGCTCAGGCGTGAGTGCATATAGAGTTGATGCAAACACGCTACGAGGCTCATTGGTAGGCCAATCTGAGCGCACCATGGACCAATTGCTTCATGAGATCAGCAACCTCAAGGGCAAATCGCTTCTTTTCTTTGATGAAGCCGATAGTTTACTTCGCCGCCGCTGTGAGCTAAATCCAACTGACATTCAATTGGTGGACATGTTTCTGGATTGGGCTGATGGGCTCAAGAGGAAGCAGCAGCAGAGGACCTGGAAAGTACTATGGGGAGAGTGTACTGTGGATGGTGCATGTGGCAGCAGCCCAAACTTTCCAGGGCACTATCCGGACTATTCACGTTGCACAAGCTTGCAGAGAGCAGTCGGGCTGCATTGCATATGTTTTTCCACAGCCAGGCGGGCCCCACAGCAAGATTGTCTTGACAGGCTTGAAAACCAGATCGGGAGACTCTCGCGTACATTGCTGCATTTGGGCTAGGTGCTTCTCATAGCTGGCGTTCAAAGCACGAGCAATACTTTGCAACTCCGATTTGAGTGCTGGCTCTGCCAGAAAGTTCGCCCAGCTGATCTGCGGCATATGCAGCTTTTGAAGAAAGCGGCCGCCACGCCTGTTTGTGCTTGAGTGACCATGTTCGTCAACGGTCTCAGACTCTTGCTCATAGTCTAAAAGCATCTTGACTATCTGCAGGCCCTCCATGATGTTGCTGGGAGTAACTCCACTGTCGCCCAGGAGCTTGAAAACATCAAAGATGGTTCCAGCAGCAAAGGCATCCTTGATTTCCTGCGTTAGCGCCGCCGCCTTCTTCTCGATGTTCCACCCACGTAGCACCACATCAAAGATTCTCGACGCGGCTTGTCCCATGGCCGCCGGCAGTGACTCTGCTATCTGCTGCTCCCGGAACCGCTGACGAACATGCAGCGGTCAATCTGAAAGTTTGGCATGTCTACCAAAGCGATCGCGCAAGCGCAATGCACTCCTAGTATCGCAAGCTTCCAGAACAAGGTGATGACAGTTCGAAGGTAAAGGTGAAGCAGGTGTGGGCATACGAACAGTGTTCGATCCCCTTAGCGCCCGAAAAGTCGACCACATGTTTAGCCTTTTTGTGTCGAAAGATGCCGCGGGTCCGTGCGTGGGACGCAGCTGCAGGGGGGCTGTAAGCCTACACCCTAAACCCTAAGCCCTAAACCCCATAACCCCAAAAAACACAGGTGTTGAACATTCCTTGACAAAAGTTTCGGTGTTTTTTAAGTTGAGCTTTAATACTTTGGGACCAGAAAGGTCTGAAGACCAAGAGAAGCCAAACCCAAGAGTAGCCTAGGAAAAACAGGTACCCTATTTAGTTAGAGGGGCTTATACGGGAACCTAAACCCTTAAACAAAAAGGAATATGTGCCTACTCTGGGTCCTAGGAAGTGCGAGGGCTGCAACGGCCTGACACGTTTTAGTAAGCGCTTAGGATGAGTGGTTTAGGGCCTAGGCTTTTAGGGCTTTAGGGCTTTGAAGGTCTAAGCCCTAGACCAAAAGCCCTACAGGACTTTCGGGATTGTTGGATGTTAAGGCCCAGGGGCGAATGAATCTGGTTTCAGGTTTCGTCCCTGAAGCTGTAACCCCTACACCCTAACCCAGATCCTAGACCCGCAGGTGCCACTGATGGATATTGTGTGGGTCTTGCCGGCGCCATCCCCCCTGCAACCTGAACGCGGGGATAGCAAAGATGAAGTCATATGGCCCGATGGCAGCCTTCTCTTCATTAGAGAACTTCGGAGCCCTAAAAGAATAAAGCCCTGGAGTCCTTGAACCCGTCAACTCTAGAGCCTCTAAGCCGAGAATCCCTCCATGAACACGAGAACCCTGGGTTGTAGGGGTCAGGTTTAGGGTTGAAGGGGTTGGGGTTACAGAAAAACCTTAAAAAATGTACACCTCAAACTAGCTAAACGACCCTGATGATAGGCCCTAATCCCTGAACCCTGCACACTAAAACCAAATCTTGAGCAAGGCTGCCATTGAAGCAAGCTGCCTGTCAAAGCAATAAGCGATTTCCTTCACCACCCCCCCCGGACTTAGGTTGCAATTGTTTAGAGCTTATAGGCCTAGGGTTTAGGGTTGAGGGGGCTGCTGTTTCGCAGGGTTGAGGTTCTGGTCAGTTCTTTACATGCAGGTTTCCGAAAATAGGGGTGCCCTTTCTGGGGGTCCCTATAAGGGGGATTCCACTCTATTTGGGGAATAAAAGGGGTACCCCTATTTTGGGATAGGAGTAGACCCTGGAAGAAAGTATATACTTTTGAGGGATTATAAGCAGCTATAACAGGAACCCAGAAACCAAAGAACGTATTAAAGTATAGTACTCCAAAACCCAGTCACATGGTGGTCCCTTTCTGAAATACGAGTGGCGCTGTACCAAGGATAAAGAAGGACAAGTCCGACTGACCAGTGCGCCTGCGTTGCCTGCAAGCCCACCCCGACCACCCAAACCCTAAACCCTAAACCCTGAACCCTAACCCTACACCCTAAACCCTAAAACCCTAAAACCCTAAACCCTAAACCCTAAACGTACTTGAGGGTCTCCTTTGGGAAAATGCTGGGCGAAGGCTTTCTTTCATGTCTAGGAGCTCCGGAGGTCAGAAGAGACATGCGCCCCTCAGTTGATTTAGAGTTTGGGGCTTCTAGTTCATGGTTGGGATAATATATATATATATAACTCAAATGTTTATTCCTGATTGGGTTTAAGTACCCTTAAACATGTAACATGGTACCCAAGAATGACCAAGGCTTGGGGAGAACACGCTGTTGCATGCTTTGAGTTTAGGGCTTCGGGAATTTACAGTGTTTCAGAGCGCACAGGCATTGGGCTTAGGGTTGAGTGTATCTAAACCCTAAACTTAACCCCTAAAGCCTAAACCCTGGCTTTGACGCATGAGCTTTAAGGCTTAGCTTTAAGCTGCCATGACGAGCAGAACCCTCATGACCGCCATCATCCAAACCCTTAAGACGGCTTCTAGGAGTTGGAATCTTTAATGAGCTTCTTTACCAACATCCATAATGGCATCCCCCTGCGGCGCGTGCTTCACTAATGCTCCTCCTATACCACTTGATGAAGAACATAGGGGGGGTGGATTAGGGTTTAGGGTTTAGGGTTTAGGGTTTAGGGTTTAGGGTTGGAGGTTCATGGTACTTATTAACCAAGCATAACTGTACTTAACATCATATTACACTTAAGGGGCTTCTAAGTGGGTTATAAGTGCAGCTACAATAGGTTAATAAGTACCATGAACCTCCAAGTAGGGTTTAAGGTTGCCCTAAACCCTAACAAAAGTGGGGTTGAATCCAGGGTTTAGGGTTTAGGGTTTAGGGTTTAGGGTTTAGGGTCACGGTGCAACTTGTGCTGCAGTCTGAACGGGGATCACCGACAGTAAAGGCACATTCTCAGACGGGGGCGCTGCCATGGCATCAACAGCTGGGGCGAAACCCTAAACCCTAAACCCTAAACCCCCTAAACCCTACACCCTACACCCTAAACCCTAAACCCTAAACCCTAAACCCTAAACCCTAAACCCTAAACCCTAAACCCTAAACCCTAAGCCAAGCAGCAAGAATGCTCGATCTTCGACATGGGGTTTCAGGGTTCCAAGACCCCACTTTGGAGTAAACCCAGAAAAAAAAGTATGTACTTTCTAGGGATAGGGTAGCCTTTGTAGGAGCCCAGAACCAGAAACATGTATTAAAGTATAGTACTCCAAAACCCAGAAGAGGTACCCACAAACATGCAGAGACTGTGGGCCCACAACCTTCAGGCTTACGCCAAGTGGCCCCAAACCCTGAAACCTAAACCCTAAACCCTAACCCCTATGAACCCTATCGACCCGAAGCCCTAAACCCTAAACCCTAAACCCTAAACCCTAAACCCTAAATCCTTCGACTTCTCGGCTGCTCTTTGAAAAAGCCTTTAGACAGAAAGCGGGATTTCGGTAGGGCATTTAGGCTCCTGTACTAGACCTCACTCATCCCTAAACCCTAAACCCTAAACCCTAAACCCTAAACCCTAAACCCTAAACCCTAAACCCTAAACCCTAAACCCATCCTCGAATCCCTTAATGGTGTGGCTGTGCCAGCAGCCCCCATCTCCGCCACGCGAAATCGTCATCCGAAAACCGAAGAACTTGTAAGCTGTGAGCGCGCGTAGTAGCTCAAGCCAGCAGAAATAATCCAGGGTGGGCCCTAAACCCTAAACCCTAAACCCGAAACCCTAAACCCTAAATCCTGAACGCCGCTGTAAAATGAGATAAAGGGAGTGGATTAAAACCAAATACATACCCAAAAAGGGCCCACCTAAGAATGCTCGAAGGGAGCGTAGAGGGGACTTTTTCTTACAGCTTCCCTAAACCCTAAGTCCTAAACCCTGACCCTAAACAAGTTTGGGGTTTAGGGTTTAGGGTTTAGGGTTAGGGTTAACCCTAAACCCTAAACCCTGAACCCTGAACCCTAAACCCATCAATCTGATAATCCCCTGGGCTCAGGTTTAGGGCTGAAAGGTTTTCTCTCTTGGGTTGACCAACCCACCCCCCTCCCCCAACAAAAATAACAGCATATGTATCTTGATGGTTAATATTCAACCTCCCCCCCCCCCCACCTGTGACAAAACCCACATTGTTTTAGGCCTAGGGAGGGGAGGGGAGGGGAGAGGGAGAGGGAGGGGGGGGGGGGGAGCACGTGTTTTGCTGGCCATCTTCCAAGGAAAGGCGTCCCTGACAATGGATACGACACTTTAGGGATGTTTTTAGAGTTTAGGGTTTAGGGTTTAGGGTTTAGGGTTTAGGGTTTAGGGTGTCAAACCCCGCAGCCAGCAACTCTTGCCCCCTTCGAGCTCTCGCCAGCGACACTTTGCCCAAGCTTGCGCTTTCTCAGGAGTGGGCGGGGGAGGGAGGACGTAAGTCCCAAGTATATGGTGAGCTCTCTAACCCTAAACCCTAAACCCTAACCCCAAACCCTAAACCCTAAACCCTAAACTAGGGGCCCTGTTTGGATGCCTATTCTACTACGGCCCCTCATATTTTAGGGTTTAGGGTTTAGGGTTAAGGTACCCAAACAGCCCATCATTTGGGGGAACTGACTAATATACCCGCACGGGGTCGAGACCCGAAGCCTTGATTTCTTTACGACGAGACCTGGTCTCAAAGGGGCGGGACGAGGGTTTAGGGTTTAGGGTTTAGGGTTTAGGGTTTAGGGTTTAGGGTTTAGGGTTTAGGGTTTAGGGTTTAGGGAGGGTAAGAGGGGCAGAGGTTGGGAACTTCCACGGGGATGGGGAAGGCGGGGGCCTGTTTGTATAGGGGCTCAAGGTTTAGGGTGTTTAGGAGCGTTTCGGGGCGTTTAGGGTTTAGGGCTTTAGGGCTTTTTGGGCTTTAGGGGTTTAGGGCTTTTTGGGGTTTAGGGCTTGTAGGGCTTTAGGGGTTTAGCGCTTTTGGGGGTTTAGGGGTTTAGGGGTTTAGGGGCTTCGGGGTTTAGGGACTTTCGGGGTTTTGGTGGTGAAGCCCGAGAAACGGAGTCCGAGAGAGCGCGCCCGAGAAAGCAACTCCTCTCAATGCGCGTCTTTGATGAGGCCAAAAGATCCTGAACTTGAGGGTTTAGGGTTTGGGGTTCAGAGGGTTCATAGGGTTCATAGGGCTCATAGGGCTCATAGAGTTCACAGAGTTCACAGGGTTCATAGGCTTCATAGGGTTCATAGCGAAGGGTTTTAGGCTTTCGGGCAGGCCAACACCCTGAAGCTAGGTTGCCCAGTGGCCCAAGAGGCTGCCCCAATGTTGTTTAATGGAGGTTAGGAGGGAAGTTTCCCACACCGAAGGACGGGAAGAAGGGTACTCATTACTGGGCCCCCCGCAAACGTAACACTCCAAACATAAGCGTTAGGGCTTTTATCCCGATAACCACCCTGTGGCAAATTCCAAACTCCAGCCCCTAAACCCGAAGCCCGAATCCCTAAACACTAGACCCTAAACCCTAAACACTAAACCCTAAACCCTAAACCCGAAACCCCAAATCCCTAACATTTGGTGCCTGGCTGGTTGTAAGGCTGAGGCTTGCCGCGGTGCATGTTTAAAGTGGCTTAGGGTTTAGGGTGTAGGGTTTAGGGTTTAGGGTTTAGGCTTGAATTGCTGAAGGATGGCTGGGTTCTTTCGAAGTTCCTGTTTGCGAACTTGAAAAACTTAGGACTGAGGGTTTTGTGGGACTTCGGAGGCTTTGCTTTCGTTTTAGGGTTTAGGGTTTAGGGTTTAGGGTTTAGGGTTTAGGGTTTAGGGTTTAGGGTTTAGGGTTTAGGGTTTAGGGTTTAGGGTTTAGGGTTTAGGGTGCTCAACTGAGCCCTAAGCGTAAACCCGTGCCATCTCTCTTTGCCTGTGATCTCTGATTTTCGATCCAGCCTGACCCCTAATCCCGCAAACCCTTTAAAAGTGGAATTTGCACGCCATACGCCCCACATACAAGACCCCTTGCAGCCCCCTACAATTAAATACGCCTAGTCTTCACTGTCGTAGATTCCATCCAAACCCTAAACCCTGAACTCTAGTCTAAACCCCTGAAACCTAAACCCCTAAACTCCTAAACTCCTAAATCCCTAAACCCTTTGAATCTCAGGAGAGCTAAACCCCCTAAACCTAAACCACCCGGGATGAGGGGGGGGCTTGAGGGGGGATGAGGGGGGACCCTAAACCCTAAACCCTAAATCCTAAACCCTAAACCCTAAACCCTGAACCCTGAACTCTAAACCCTAAACCCTTTTCCTCCCGGAGAGTGGAGAGGGGGGTGGGGGACCTCCAGGGCTCTTATCGCGCTGCGGAGTTCGGCGCTGGGAGCAGCGAGCGGAAGCGCCTGGCCGCGGCTTTGAATTTCGGGCTTCGGGTTCGGGTTTAGGGCTTCGGGTTTAGGGTTTAGGTAGGGTTTAGGATTAAGGGCTTAGGGTTAAGGGATTTGGGATAGTTGGAAAGTTGGGGTTTAGGGTTTGGGGTCCAGGGTTTTAGGGTTTAGGGGCTTAGGGTTTGGGGCTTAGGGTTTCGGGATCTGAGTTTAGGGGTTTAGAGTTTAGGTGCCTGGGTTGATTGAAGGTTTCCGGACTTCGGCTTGTAGGGGCCCAGTCAGGGTGGGGGTTGCGGGCTTACGGTGAGGGGGGGAGGGGATTTCGGGACCTTACGGACATAGCTTGCTGGCCCAGCCCTAAACCCTAAAGCCAGTCTGCCCAGAACCCCAGAAAGGCACAAGGGCACCATCGGGACTAGCAAGATGTGGGTTTCGGGTTCGGGGTGAGGTAGGTAAGGTTTCCTAAGGTCCGGGTTTAGGGAGGGTTGGCTTCGGGGTAAGGCTTGATAAGAGCTTAGGGTTGAAGGTCTAGGGTTTAGCCTGCGCTTTATGGGATGCCGGTGTGTTTGGACAAACAACCTTGTCTGCTCAGAGCGATAGGATGACAAGTGAACATTCTAGGTTTAAGTGACTCGGACATGTCAGGGAAGTACATCGAAACTGCAGGGTCACAGAAAATTCAATTGCTTGCCATTGTTGTTTTTAGGGCGTAGGGCTGCTACTGTAGACCCTAAGCCCTAAACTGTTGAACCCTAGGTATGAAACCGGGAACCTGACCTGAAAGCTTAGAACTAGAAAGAATAGCTGCGTCTAGATAAGAATGTTGGACACTTTTTGCTGTATAGGCCTAAATCCTACACCCTGAACCCGCATTATAGGGACTGGAGACAATATATGGCTTTATTTTGGCCGGTGTAGTATGCGATGAAAATGACATTTTTATTGGTTTCGAATATACTGATTCGATCATGACATTGTTGCTCCACGTTCCGGGTGTTTGGGGTGTTCACAACCCTAAACCCTAACCCTAAACTCTATGAGCTTCTTGAGCCTCAGTCGTTCCGTTGTCTCTTCGCTTTTGTCTCCCTTGTCCTGCTTCACGATCTCATCTGGGTCCTCCCGTCTTCCTGCTGATCTCAACTGGCTGCTCACCATATTCCATGCTGTTGCACCTTGCTCGGCCAAACCTGCGAGGCATCGGGGTGCCTTTTCTGTCTGAGGCAAAGTAAGAACACGGTTTAGGGTTTAGGGTTTAGGGTTTAGGGCCTTTAGGGTTTAGGGATGTTTAGGGTTTAGGGTCCCACGTGAGGGACACCACTTGTTTCTGGTGGCTGGTACGAGACATTCGGCTCGGGTCGACCGGCTGGCATAGGGACTCTGTGACAATGTCAAGCTGTCCTTTCCGGGACCTACTTTAAGGGAACTTTGCCGTTTGGCTTTGGTTCTGATGGACCCTTAAACCCTAAACCCTAAACCCTAAACCCTGAACCCTGAACCCTAAACCCTAAACCCTTCAATTCTGGGGTTTATGCAGTCTAAAGGCTAGAGTCCACTTCCTTGTGGTTGAGGGGGTGTTGCGGATGGGGTGATGTGGAACAAAGCGCAGGCATAATTACCGGGGTCCATCGCCGCTCGTCCTTAACCAGGAAGGCTCAACCCTAGGGTTTAGGGTTTAGGGTTTAGGGTTTGGGGTTTAGGGTCTAGGGTTTAGGGTTTAGGGTTTGGAGTTTGGGGTTTGGGGTTTGGGGTTTGGGGTTTAGGGTTTGGGTTTAGGGACACACTACGGAAGCCCGCTGGCGCCAAGGTTGAACACATGCATGGTTGACTCTGCAGACCTCGGCCGCGGGTGGGTGTTTAGGGTTCAGGGTTTATATGCGCCCCCCCAAATGGTATCCCCCCACAAACCCTGCCCCTGAAACCCTAAAAACAGCGGGGGGGGTGGGGGGGGGAGATAAACATTCAACCTAAACCCCAAACCCTGAACCCTATGCCCTCAAACCTACACCCATCAATGAACCACAGGGGGGACAAGGGTAAACCCGAAACCTTAACCGCTTTAACCCTGAACCCTGAACCGTAAACTCAGCACGAACCACAGGGGAGAGGGAAGGCCGTACACCTACCATTACCCCAACCTTGAACCCTCAACTCTAGCCAATGGACCAAGGGGGTCAGAATGAAAATCCTGAACTCTACAGCCTAACCCTAAACCGTAAACCCATGAACCAAAGACCAAAACCCAAACCCCAAACCCTATATACCCTAAACCCTTAAACCCTTAAACCCTTAAGCCCTAAACCCCTGTAACCCCAAAAACCCTAAACTTTAAACCCTAAACCCCCGAAAGCCCCGAAAGCCCCGAAAGCCCCGAAAGCCCCGAAAGCCCCGAAAGCCCCGAACCCCTAAAAGCCTAAACCCTAAACCCTAAACCCTCAACCCTCAACCCTAAATACCCTAAACCCTCAACCCTAAACCCTCAACCCTATACCCTCAACCCTAAACCCTCAACCCTAAATACCCTAAATACCCTAAACCCTAAACCCTCAACCCTAAATACCCTAAACCCGAATGCACAAGGACCCGGCATGCCAGCAGCCTTGGCCTGACGGGCCACGGCGCTGACGGCCTGGCACACCCAACTTGAAGGCTCATGGGAACTTATAATTGGGATAACCCCTATAAGGCCCTTTAGGGGGATTATAAGTAGGGTTATAATTCCAGTTATAAGTGGTTAACCCTAAACCCTAAACCCTAAACCCTAAACCCTAAACCCTAAACCCTAAACCCTAAACGTTATTAAGTCCCATGAACCTCCAAGAGGGAGCTCCAAGGGAAACGGCAGTGAAGGCCGTGAATGACGGGGTTTAGGGTTTAGGGTTTAGGGTTTAGGGTTTGGGGTTTAGGGTTTAGGGTTTAGGGTTTAGGGTTTGGGGTTTAGGGTTTGGGGTTTAGGGTTTGGGGTTTAGGGTTTAGGGTTTGGAGTTAGGTATGTGGCCGGTTCTCAAAAGAAATATGCCCACGGGGCGATGCTGCGAGAAATATGGCTTCGGGTAGAGGGTTTGGCAACGTCTAAAGCCAAAACCTTCAGCCTCACGAAGCCCTGTAAACCCCTATATACCCTAAACCCCTAAACCCCTAAACTCTTGAAAAGGGCAGTAGAGAAAGCCCCAAAGCTTGCAGCGGGTTGTTCCACATCGGGGTCACCGTATAATTAGGTTTAGGGCTTTAGAGTCATTAAACCCTAAACCCGAAACCCTAAACCCTGAACCCTGAACCCTAAACCCGAAACCCTAAACCCGAAACCCGAAACCCTAAACCCTGAACCCTGAACCCGAAGCCCTAAACCCTAAACCCTAAACCCGAAACCCTAAACCCTAAACCCTGAACCCTGAACCGGAAGCCCTAAACCCCGGACTCAGCAGGGTAAGGGCCTTAACCCAAGCCCTAAACCGGCAATCTGAGACCCTACGCCCTAATTTGCCAAAGTAGGGAAACCTTGAATATTCACCTCAACATGAGGAATCTAATCTTCTTATAGAAATAGGAGCCCCTTTCTGAAACCCGAAGCCCTCAACCCTAAACCCTAAATCCCTAAACCCCTACAACCCTAAATCCCTAAATCCCTAAACCCCTAACCCCTAACCCCTAAACCCTCTTTTCGCAACTCCCCCCCCCCAACCCTAAACCCTAAAGCCTAAACCCTAAACCCTGAACCCTAAACTCTTGCACCTCCTGGTTGCCAGATTGCATGGCGACGTCCAGCAGCGTGCGAATGTCAGACCTTTGAAAGGCGGCGCATAGCCCCCAAAATAAGGATCAAACCGAAGAGTTTAGGGTTTAGGGTTTAGGGTTTAGGGAAACCCAACCCCTAAACCCTAAACCCTGCTCAGGACGACTGGCTAGAAAGAAAAAACAATAGCTAGGGGAACGCCATCACAGGCCGAGGGCTTTCGTCGTCAGGGTTCAGGGATATTTTGGGCTTAGGTTCGGCATCTAGCCCACCCGCACAACCCTACCCCTAAACCCCTAAACCCCAAACCCCAAACCGCAAACTCTAAACCCCAAACCCTAAACCCCGAACCCTAACAGTCCGATATCCCAAACCCTAAACCCCAAACCCTCGACACCCTAAACCCCAAACCCTCAACCCTAAACCCCTAAGCCCCAAAGGCTGAGCCCCTACCTCCCACTCTAACATGGTTATAAGTACAGTTAGAAGTACAGCTATAATTGGTTACTAAGTACCCTAAACCCTAAACCCTAAACCCTAAACCCTAGACCCTAAAGCCTAAACCCTAAACCCTAAACCCTAAACCCCTGAGCTCCTGACTCGGACATGTTCGAGGTGGCGGCCGGGGCCGATGCAGCCTTCGCGGCTCCAGAAATTGAGCTCACGGTCGCCAAGAGGGTTTAAGGTTCGGGGTTTAGGGTTTAGGGCTAGGGTTTAGGGGTTTAGGGGTTTTGGGGGTTTAGGGCTAGGGGTTAGGGGTTTAGGGGTTTAGGGTGTAGGGCTTAGGGTTTAGAAGCTAAGCTCCGAGAGTTTTTAGGGCTTCAGGGCCCCAACAAAACTCCGAAGGCTCTGGACTCTGAACGTTGAAGATCTAAACCCCTAGAACCCTTCAAACCCTGAACCCTTCAACCCTAAACCCTTTAGTTTTTTTTGTTTTACAAGGATCTGGGTGGGACTGCCTGGTTAAGGCAGGTGTGGTTTACGCGGCTTTAGGGTTTAGGTGAACTGCATTGGGGGTTATTTGGGGGCAGTGGGGGATGTCTGGTGGGGTATCTTATGATATGCTCAAGGCTTCTACTTTTCTTGCGTGGGCTGGGGTGTCAACTCTAAACCCTACACCCTGACCCTGAACCATTGTGATTATTCATATTATCATTTGCTGGGAACCTTTGTTTTTTTCCGGGGGGGGGGGGGGGGGGGGCGCCTACATGAACATGCCTTGATTCCATAGAGTTTTCGGGGATCTGGGCCGGGTTACTCAGTCCTATTAAGGAGGCATTTATGGAACAGGCACCTTATAGATCGCCGTATGTAATCCTAAACCCTAAACTTTATGTAAGCCTCTTGGGGAGTACCTAAGACCTTATATCCCCCGAGAACCTTCCACATGGAGAGCCCTTCCTCCTTGTGAGAACCCGTAAGTAGTTTAGGTTTTAGGGCTTTCGGGTTTTAGGGTTTTAGGGTTTTAGGGTTTAGGCTTTAGGGCTACCGAATCCGACGCAAGCAGCGACTGAAAGCCTGCCTGCTACGGCTATCACGCATGATCCTGCAATCTTGGCAGCCGTCCTTCTATGGCAAGGCGGGGACCCTAAACCCCAAACCTTTGAACCCTAAACCCCAAACTCCCTAAACCCTAAACCCTAAACCCTAAACCTTAAACCCTAAACCCTAAACCCTAAAACCTAAACCCTAAACTACCTAAGGTCTGAAGCCTTGATCGCTAAACAACAAGAGCACCAGTGAGCTGGCCTTCGGTGACACCACCTAGGGTCTAGGGCTTAGGGTTTAGGGTTTAGGGCTTAGGGTTTAGGGCTTAGAACGTTCAGGGCTCAAAGAAGTTGACGCTGATAGGCGTTCGTCAAGTATTTGCAACTCTTTGGACAGGGAATGAAGGAATAGGGGGAGGGGGTTGTACTAGCATTAGTCCTGTTTGTTGCTTCTCTGATAATTTCTACTATTCCTTCATTCCCTAACCAACCTTGAAGGCGATGGTAGTGGGTCCGCAGACTGATTCTATAGGGTACACAGCTGTCGAAACGAATCGGAATCAAATCCTCCAGGAGGAACACCCTAAACTCCGATGTCAAGAAGGAACTTACGTCTAAGACATCGTGAATTTTCTCTAAGCCTCAGTCCCTAAACCCTACAGCTCCTGAAGCAGCAGCCCAAACAAAGCAACCACTGCAAGAAGCGAACTCCCACAAGCTCGGAAGCATTGCACCACTCAGTCACAGACTTGACTTTTTCCCGCTTATGACAAT